ACATTAGTTGTCTACAAGGAACAATCAGGAAGTTACAATGAGATTATGTCCAAAGACAACAGAAGACAAGCCGTTTTCAGCACAGACATGAAACTGGTTTCGCTTTTATGCGTGAGACTGCATAGACAAAATTAAAGGCAGACCATGAAAAAACCCCTGCCTACCAAGGGAACTGAAGGAAGCATCAGAAAAGCCTTCTGAAAACACCAACTGGAGAAACCAAAAGAAAGGAGGATAATCAAGAGTAGGAAGTCACCAAAGTGAAGAGAGAAGATGTCAGTAAGTGTGTGGTTTTGGTAACTGCCAGTTAAGCATGACTAACATGAACTGTTGGCTCTAAGCTCCAGCTAGGTATTCTGGCAACACCAACTGCTGTCAAGTGGAAGAAGCCAAAGCTAAAATAAAGCTTAGGTCAGGTGTGAAGGAGAGAGCTCCTGAAAATGACTGTCACTTGCACGTTCAGTGGGTTAGAAGATGAAAGAGAGAATAAGACAGGATTTAGAGATACAAGTGGGGTCAATGGTAAGCCTTCTAAAGAACAGAAAAGATTAACACACGCTCACCATCTGTTAGCAATAAGTTAAGAGAAGAATAAAAGTCACAGCCCTAAACCGAGAGCAAAATGTAGCACTTGACAAAGAATTCACACATCAAATGCCTCATATATAGAGCTGTAAGGCACTACTGGATTTAAATTTGAAAAACAACAGCAGCGCTGTTTGTAGAAGGCCACCTCAGGTCTCCAAGACTATCTAAATTAAAGCTCTTCTGGAAAGAGCAGAATTCTGTTTTACCTTAGATTTCTTATTACAACAGGCACTACCGAGGATTCACAACTATAGAAAAATAATTGTATAAGATATCTCATTTCAACAGAAAATAGCAAGAATTAAATGGGATCTGTACACTAATCTTCCATCACGTAAGTTGCCAGCAGTAGCTCAAATGAATTTAATCTTTAAAGGGCATGGGGGGATGTGCTGGTGACTAGCACTAACCTCACGGCCTCGGTGTTGGGTCGAGGCTCGCAGCGCCTCCGAACGCCTCGAGATCCCCAGTACCTTGAGCCACTGGCCAGGAGAGCTTGTTCTTCTTCCAAAACAGTGTTTTTTTCAGTTCAAATGGAATAGTATCTTTCAGGTAAAGGAAAAATTCATTTACTCATGGTAATGATCTGCTGTCAGTCGTTATGGAGAGACCCCCAAAGCTATTCCTTTGTCTTTACTTCACTTTTCTCCACAATGGTTATATATACTAATGGTTCTTTCAATGGTTAAAAAAAAAAAAAAAAAGGGAGGAAAAGCATTCCCTCATCTATATTTCTTTGCGGCTGGAGGTTTTGGATAACAGCTTGGACAAGTGGCCTGTGTCAGACATAGTTTACAGAGCGATAGGGGTAAGAGAGTAGACTAGAAATTTCCTATAGTTCCTTCCAGTCCTTTTTTCTGCTTCTACTACCACTCACCTTCAAACAAACCCACCCTTTCCATAGGGTTGCTGACTCAGGAGAGTCACCTCCAGCACTACAGGATCACTACCACCTCAGCCACTTGGATTTTTATTCATTTTCTAATTCTTTTATGACAAGTTGAGGCAAAGATGTTCAGTTTGAGGCACCAAGGACTGGTGCCTCTTCCTTGGGATGTTAACATCAGTTAGCAATCTTCAGATTAGAAGCACATCAGTAACTCTTTATTAGCATGGGGAAGAAAACATTTTTCCCATCTCTTTTTTGAGAAGTGTTTCCACAAGAGAAAGTTCTTTCAGTTCACCTTCTAGAAAGACTGGTCACAATTCTAGGATCTCCTTCCTAGTGAAATCCTATCAATGCAGAGGCAATCTGGGCATCTGTGAAGTAAGACAAGACATGCAATGAGGAGCTGCTTTTATGAATAACATCATACACTTCTAGGTAGCTTTTATCCCCTGGTAAACCATGGTGGCATGGGGGAGGGAAATATAAGTAGTAGTCAAATCAATGGATGCTCTTTCTTAGTAACAAATTAGCCTGTTTTTATTGCTTGCTTTTAATACTCTAGAAAATCATCTGAAAAAAGGCACTGCACACATGTAAATATACACACTGATTCCACTTTGTGACTTCTAGCACTGGAATCACAACTTCAGTATTCTATTAACATTTAAGTCCTTCAGTTTATGAAATTATAATCATGAAAAAATTATGCCTGTCTTAAAGACCCCAGTTAGGATGCAATTATGATTAGAAATCACAACAGCGAAGTAATTGAAATGCATGGCTGTGAAGGCCTAGTTATGGTCATATTAAAATGCTTCCACTAAACATTCCCTGCTCTGATGAATATTTTGTATCACTGGAATTAGAGTTATTCTGCCTGCAAATATGTGTTTTATTCAGCACTGTACTGAAGGATGCCAACCTATAATAGGGATGTTGTATCATTGGTTTTGTTGAACTGTTGATAAAAATCACTGCTTGTTGCCTTTGAAATACATGGAGAAAGATAAGACTTAGCTAAATTTTTCCTTTTTTTAACTATATATTCTTTTTATCTATTAATGTAAATTAACCATTTATTCATTAATACCACAGCACAGAGGCTAGTGTTATATCATTATAAAAGAAAAATTTGGAAGTTGTAACCAGTAACCTCATATTTTAGGCATAAGTATACACTGCTCACACATCTAAACTTTTCAGGCCTGTTTCCTTGATTTTAGCAGCTTCTCTACTGAATTACAATAAACAATGCACAGAGTCATTTCAAACTATCTCAAGAAAAGGAGTCTAGTGACTGGATCCCTCAACCTTCTTCCACGCATAAGTCACATCTTAGTATATCGGCTTCATCTTCACACCCACCTGCTACTGCGCTCCCCACTCACAATCACAAACCTCCATGAGGCTTACAACAACTGCATAAATGAAATCTTTTTAGAAAACAATGTATTTCCCCTCCAATCTAATTCTGTCTTGAAGGTGCAACACAGAAAAAGCATTAAGACCATGCTCTCCACATCTGTAATGTGACAGTCAGACATCAAGAGCAGTGAAGTTTTAGAGCACCTCAAACACTGGAAGATCCCTCTCCCAGGACATTTACTGCAAGGGGAAGGACTTGCACATGCCAACCAGTTTGCTGCTGAGTGTGCAAGCAACACCAAGACACTGCAGAGAGAGTCTTACATTGCTACCCTTACATTGCTACCACCCTGAGTAACAAAATCAATTTTGGCAATTCATTTTTTGGGAAGGAGACTGGATAAAAGAGGTTAATAGTAATTAAAAAAAAAAGGAGGGGTAAAGTTTTATTTTTGCTCCAGTAAAAGAGAGGATGTAGAAAATCTATTAATAGTGTTTACATATGTTCACTACTCACCTGCTAAATAATGGGTAAAAAAGGTTACATTAAAAGCAAATTGTGTATCACTGTTTCCTTAAACGTGTTTCATATTAGCATGTGCACTGACACTGTAACATTTAGAAATATCATCCTTCCTGCTTTAGTTTCTTTCCTCAACATCTCCATGCCATAGATATTTATGCACCTGCTTTCTGTAAAAGACAGCTATGAGAACTCACAGGTCCAAGCATGGCAAATATGACATTCATGAATTAGTGTAGTCAAGAGCACCAAATATTATCTGCGTACACCCTCTATAATCATAAATAAAAAAAAAAAAAGGCTCATTTAATTTATTACAAGTTTGATTGCTATATTATCCAAATAGGTAAGGTAGTTCATTTCCAGCAAAGCTAATCCCATGGCCAGGAATGCCTCAAAGAGAGCAGACACATGAGATCTTCGCTCCTGTTTTCACTCCTGACTCACTGACACAGAGAGATTTGGAGCTAAGGATGAGGATTATCATGGTTCACTTTAATAAAGTCTACAGAGTCAAACTGCTAGTAACAATGTCAGGAATCCAGCTTGATGTGGCTTCACATCCTACCAAGAGACCTTCTGTCACAATTGGTGTTATTTAGAATTCTGAAGCTAGTTGTTATTCATTTCATGCTTTAGAGTGCTTCTAACAGATCAAGAGCAAAGGGATACAGATCACAACATGAGAGAAACTGAAATAAAGTGAAAATGAAGCTGTTGCAACTGAGAACCATGCACTGAAAAAAATACAAGGAACATATTCGAGGCTAAAGTTCTCATATACTTTGTATGAAGTCCTCTTTCTTTTCTGCAGCAGCCTGGGTCCTGTCAAGAACAGATCACTTACGTACACATATATATTCCATTCTTGGCCATGTCCCAAGCCCCTACACCCCTACAACTCTGCTTTTCCAAGAGTAACCGCTTGTACTCCTTTCTGCAGCCCTGCTTTGTGAAATCCTTGCTTCACCTGATTCTCCCGGGCATGCCCAGGAGCGCTAGCTGAGCCAGCCTCCCTGCCACTACAAAAGAGATTTCCCAGATGTGGCTCCAGCCATTTGTCCCACTGGCTCTGTCCCCACTGGCTCAAAGCAAACACTGAACTTTCTGGGTGGCTAGAGAAGAGAGCAGCTTTGGGGAGAGAAGAAGTCGAAGAGACACGAGAAAGGAAAGCCAGGCTCCTGAACTCAGTGCTTTCCTCGATCACTCCTCCTTTGGGAACATTCCCAGTCACTGATGCTGGGAATGATGTTATATGACCTGTTCCCTCTTACACCTGTGAAAACCCAGAAGAGCTCTGATAATTGCACTACTATTTTTTTTTTCAATATAGGTCATCTGGATATTTTCTCTTGTAACCAAGAACAGAACATAGCCCTCTGCTCTTTAACTGTAAAGTGCAGTCTTCCACTTTATTGAATGTGGAAGCTATCTTATTTAGGTAACTTTTAACTGAAAGTTACCTAAAAAATAAAGTGACCATGTCCATTAAATCCACAACTCATACTGCATTTAGTGGCTTGCTTACTTACATTTAACAGGAAAAGTTTTAAATGAGTGTTAAGTGTCCACAGGTTATTGTATGGATATAGTTTAAGTGACACTTGCAAAACTAAGAGCAGAGATTTCACTCACCAAGCCATCCGGACCCCGAGTTGGGTATGCACATATCTGTCTCAGCGCTGGGCAGCACAAATCCAACCACAAACACTTCGACACCATCAGCCATTAGGGCCATTCCCAAGACAAAGAAGAGGGCCCACTGGAAACGGCCGTGGCCACATTCTTGGATTATCAGCTCATACTGCTGGGCCAGCTCTTCTTCGTCAGCTTTCCTCTCTGTTTCCAGTTCATGGCGATCCTTATATTCATCACGCATCGGCTGCCCTAAGGCCACCATGCCGTCCTTGCCCTGACTCATGTTGGGGATTCCCTGATATTCCCCTTCATAAATTTCATCATCTTCATCATGTCCTTCAGTTGCTTCACTTGATCCTTCATCGTCATTAGCTTCTACACCGTAATTTCCTCCTCGGACATAGTAATCATCATCCTCATCATCTTCCTCATCCTGGAATCGGCTATAGGACCTCTGGGTGTAGCCATCCTGAGCTTTGTCAACTGCTTTATTCACTTTTTTGACAGCCTGTCTCTTCACTTCTTTGGCAATATCTTTTGCCCCTTTCACTAGTGAAGTCCTGTCTTTGTAGGATTCTTCCATCTTGCACCAAAGATTACTGCAGACAGGCCTGACAGAACTGCTTGGAGTATCTACGTTGCGTAGGACATCAATATGAAAAGCCCAAGAACATACGAAGCTCTAATGGAGCACCTGCAAAATATGAGAGAAAAAAAGAAAAAAAATAGTTTTACATTTTGTTCTTTCCCATTTGATTCTTCACACTGATAAGACTGCCACGATGATGCACATCACAGTTCAGGGCTTCAAATATACAGTCAGCAACTTTCTTCAGGGATGCAGACATCCCAGGCTACTGGTAAGATGCCCTAAAGAAAGAAAATCTAATTTCCCTGCATGTGTTCACAAGTTGTAAAGAGCAGAGAGACGGCTCAGATTCACCACGCCGAGTTTCAGCAGTATCTGCTGTGCAGCAGCAGCCTGTACTCAGCACGGGGACACAGCCCCAGAACAAGCTGCAGCAGCACAACCGGGGAGGCCACGAGACAACACGGAGAAGAATAAATGGGTGGGAATCTCTGAAGAAAAGCCTGTTCCCCCTGCTCAGAGCTATTCCCTGAGCTCCAGTGAAAAAGAGCCGCCTCTGCTTTGAAGAGTCGGCCTTTTACTCACTTGGAGGTAAATCCTAGTGCCAGAAGCATATTCCAGGCAGCAGTTTTCAGACTGATACCATTTGGAAGGAAAGAAAGAATTACAGACTGTTTCAGATACACTATGTCTTAAGTTTATTTCTGATAAAAGAAAACCAACTTTAAAAATCAGACAGATGTGAGGAAGCTGCAAGATGCTTCTTTTGGTCCCTTTCTCTAGGCTAACTTCATGCATTCTGCATGTTTCCCAGAGGAATCCGATGTGATGGCGCTATTCAACTGTTCCATGCAAACCAAAGTGGCCTTAAAAAAAGGATATAATATTTATGACCCCGAACTACAGCCAGATTTTAGACACACATATCCTCCTAAGTAGGTCATTTGAGAGAAGTGGCCTTAGCATACAAGATTTAGCAGCTACAGCTTTTCAGTTTGGAAGGTGCTCCTCACAAGTTACCATCTGCTCTCTTAGGAGGGCTAAGGATTACAAAGTGCGCCTAAATTACTTGGAATGTTTTACATGATTTAAGGTGTGTGGATAGTATATCTAAGCTAAACTCTGCATACCTCTGATTCTTTAGATTATTGCTTTTCAGTAATTACAACATCTCTTAAGCATTTTTAGTTGCACTCATGGTCAAATTTGGCTTTACCACAGGTTATATCAAAGCAAGGACGACAGCAGGCACAAGGGGTAAGGGATAAAAGTGTTAAGTGCAAAGGTGACACCCTGGCAAAACAGCTTTGTGCTCTTACAGGAGCTCTGGTTCTCGAGTTCAGCAGAATACACTCTAAAAAAACATAAATCTGCAGAAGTACCAGAGCTTATACTGCAGGGTCTGCCAGAGCAGCAATGCCTGTAAGGAATTACACTGCCCCTAAATCTCTGACAGCAAAAATCCTGCACAGACTCCCCCCAAGTCAAGTCTCTGTCCAGACAGTGAGATCCTAGAGGCAGTAAGAGACCAAAAAGGTCTCCTCCTTGTGCCCAAGCCTCCAAGTCACACACCTGGCTTGCATGCTATTCCTTTAAGCAACTCTACCTTATGAGCTGCAATCCCTGCCTTACAGTGATAAGTACAGCGAGGAATTATTTACAGCCCATGCATAGCAGCTCCCTGCCCTTTTAATTATGCCAGGCTGATAGACTGCTAGCAAGCAGCTGGGAAGAAGGAAGCAGGGAGGATTAATGACTACCTGAGTCCCACGGAATAGCTGAAGTACAAATGAGAATCTAGCTATTGATTCCTGTTTGCACCAGCTGTCTTGCCCAGCGAGCCTGCTACTTTCACTAAACTAACCTCACATTTTTACCTGATTCCTCTGATTTAAAAAAAAAAAAAAAAAAAAAAGTAATAAAAATAAAGTGGTATTTTCCCAAGAAAAGGGTGGTTTCACATCTAATAAAAGTACTTACAAGTAGTGCATGCAAATAAGGATTTCAAAACATTCACAAAGACACAATGCACAGGAAAACAAATCATTTGGTTGCTGCCAAGTCTTTTCCATTCTATTATGTTTGCAAACTCCTTCTAGTTACCACTTGGTTCTCACTCGCACATATTGTGCCACATCTAAAACAAAGGCAGGACCCTGCAAACTAAACCAGTGCGGTTCAACAGAGATGCAATCCTGAGGTGCCAGAAACCCCACACCTACAAAGGCTTCAGCCTCTGCACACATACAAGCTGTGCAGAGACCCTATGAAGACCCAAAGCTACTAACAACCTATGACATCAACTCCATGCGTATGTTCAGATCAAATTTTTCAGAACAGATTTGACAACCATAATCAGAGGGAGCTTCAACTTTAGCATGGATTTAGGCATCTAGTATTCCCAGTCTGGATGAACCTGAAGTCTTTCTACAAGATGTTTAAAGGACTTTGAGTAGTGCAAAAACGAGTAAAAATCTGTATCAGAGGCTAAATCCTGCTTTCATTCCACTCTCATAATTGCAACAAATTCAATATAGAGTCAAAAGTGTACCAGATGACTCAGAATTAAGAACAATATGTTCTTGCCACATCGATCTTAATGCTGCAAAAGCAGGAAAAGCTGGAACTGAAAAGCCAGAGCCGCAGATACAGCCCAGTGATTGAGCAGTGATGTATTCCAGCCAGACATGTGCTCACGAGAGAAGCTGCCCTGATTTACAGGCAGCTTAGCAGTGTTCCCAAACATGTATCAACTGCAACAAAATGACTGAAAAGAGTGACTTCACTCAAAAAAAAAAAAAAAAAAAAAAAAAAAGTTACTTCAATGAGACAACGAGACAGCCAAAATGAATTCAATTTTGAGCAATATTTGAGAGTGGTATAAGAGGAAAAGGAGGGGCATAGGAGGGTTTTTTTAGGCTGGGGAGGGGACAGGAGCTGAAGGCTTGACATTTAAACTATTTTTTTTTTTCTCTACACTTGCATTAAATTAGTCCTCCCTGCATCATTTCTGTGTTCTGAATGTCTTTCAAAGGATATCTTGAAGGATGCCGCGATTCTGAACAGCTTTATGAGCATCCTCTTATAGTGATATCAATGTCTGATTCAGCTGGCCCTCGTTAAATACACCCAGCCCTTCTAAACCCTTCTAAGCCAAATTTATGTCTAAAGCCAGAACCTGGCTCTTACATTCCTGCAGCACAGTGCCAACTCCCATCAGGAAATCTTTCCGAAAAGGGCCATCCCTTTCGTGCTACTCTTTTTCTGCAGGGCCACCTCACTCCTGTGCCAAAAGAACCCAAGATTTTTGCAGTCCTGAACTACTATGTCTGCCAGTCCCCTCTTGCTCTGCTGCTGTTTTAGATCATCCTCCTCACAGGGAATCAACTCTTGCAGCCAATAAATCTTGATAAGAGAGCTGCAGTTTCTTGGCATAACATTAAGGGATACTTAAATGCTCTATTTTTTAACCCACTGCCTTCCTCCCAGGCATTTTGCCATCTCACTACTTAAAGCACATATTCATGCCTTTTTACCTTTAAAACCTGCTTTTTATTTTTTGCAACATCCAATAAAATGAAAATAAAAAAAATCTCCTTTCTTAAATACTCCACTTGGCTACATTTCCAGCCGAACTTCCAACTTCAGTTTTATTCCTGCTTCCCAAGCTCAACGTCAGACGGGTGGCACCAGCTCTGAGAATCCCAAGCGCTCCTGTCAGCCTCCTCCTCCCACAGGAAAACACGTTTGCGGCGTCTCTGCTGGACAAAAATAGCGACAAATTTCACGGAGTCCTTTCTGTGTCTGAAAGCCCATTTCCTCATTTGTATTCATCTTCAAATCCCCAAAATAGCTTTCAAAAAAAAAAAAAAAAAAAAAAAGCAAGACAAGAACTACAAACTCACTTCTGCTGGTGAGAGACTGCCTCAGTTGTGGGTGGCAACTCTGCTTGGGGATCCAGACCCCTAGGTATATACTTTATCCCAGTACTGCTATGAAGAAAATGCCGCTGGTAGATAGGGACAATGTGGTCTCCAATGGCAATATTAATAAAGGTTTATTGTTTCTCTGTCTCATGAAGCTATTGGCACAAAAACGCCAAAATGCCACGAAGATGGCTGGAGGGCTGGGACACGGGATGTACATGGAGAGGTCAAGGGAGCTGAGTTTGCCCAGCACCTGGGGAAGGTTTACAGGGGAATCTAATCCCAACTTCCATCACCTAGGGAGTGATTACAGAGAAGATGGAGTCAAGCTCTTCTCAAAGGTGCAAAGAAAAAGAGGCAACAGCCACAAACTTCAACATGGGAAATTCCAACTAGGTATATGGAAGCAATTCTTCCCACTGAGGATGGTGAAGCACAGAACTCTCGCACTAAGGAGTTGTGAGATTCCCACCCTGAGCCAAGTTTGGAGCTAGCCGGGTTTTGAGCACAGGCTTAGATGCTATAACCTCACATGGTCCTTCCAACCTATATTACTCCTAATACACACCTAAGAAACCTCAATAGTCTCTTATACAAAGACGTGTTTCCTACAAAAGAAAAGACAGCTTCTGTCCTTGACAGTCTACAAGTGTGTTTTCCACAGAATCCAGAATCCAGAAAGCAAATAAGAGCAAAGAGGCTAAGGGGACTGGTGGCACATACAAACCAACGGGTCCTGCAGCCTGGCACGTTGCCTGAACTGCATTGAACAGCCATGCCAATATTAGTAATGGAAAATTCTCCCAGTTTCACAGCACTTTGATCTGGGAAAAGCATTCAGCAAAGATGTCATCAGATATGAATATAAATTAAATACCAAGCAGGTATTTGTCACATCCCTGCCACATGCCTTAGATTCACACTGGATTTGTGCTTTTGCTCTAGCGCAAAAAGGTCTGTAATATCTGGAGATTTTGAAACAACAAACAAAAAAATCACTTCTGTGAACTTGCCTGCTGTTTCATCTTTGCTTACGCAAAGCAACACAAGAATTCACTTTTAGACGTGTACCTCAGCTGAAACAATTCATCCCAGGCAGGCCATTGAATTATTCTCATTTTCCCACTTTGAAACAGTGGCAAGTAAAACAGTTCAGCTGGGTGACTTGCTTCCATTAAC